CAAAGCAAAACAAAACCACAGGCTTTTGAGTTCAGACAGTAAATCTTTTTGAGGACCTTTTCTCGTTTCTGTGAGAAAGAAGTCTCAGCTTCTCCTGATGCTGTGTGTTACCTGACCCTGTGGTTCCACAGGTGTGCTTTCTGAGGTGGTGTGCCTGCCACACGGGAGGAGTAGGGCATTGCTGGATGGCTTATGTGGCCAGGTATAAGTAGCAGAGGAAGTGTTTACATTTAGGAGACTCTTATATTGAATACTTAAATGACTTACTGGCAAGCACAGCTTCAAAAGTTTAAGGAGAGTCGCAGTTTGGTGTGTATTGAATGTGCACTATGTTAAGCACTTAGCTTCAACTATAAACCATTTGCTGAGTTTTAGTGACTCTGATGTTTAGTCTTTGCCCCCCCTGTTTAGACATTAGTAGCCAAGTGTTTTGCCTCTGTATGTAGCCTTAAGTTGCACTTTTTTCTGATGTAGTCATCAGATCAAATTATTTATAAAATGAGGACATCCTTTTGGACTTCATGTGTAAACAGTCTTAAATATGTGCACAGGCAGAGAGATTCTTCTCTGTTTATCCATAGTTGAAGGCTAAACATTAATAAATGCTAACATTAAATAGTGGGTTTCCCCCCGCCTCGTTCTCCACTGAAGTTTTCCCTTTAAGGTTCAGATTCCTTCTCTAGATTACCCAAAGAACTTTCCCCTTGCCCTTGAATAAGATACTGGTTGCAGTATGTCTCTGCTACTATGATTATTATGAGCTAGAGTAAGCAAGTGGTTCCTCTGGAGTGGTTCCTGCTGGACAGGTAATAATGTAATCAAAACCATGTCTGCAATGCTGGCACGTGTGTTTGAGGGGAGGATCTGCTGTCTTCAGGCAATACGGTGACTCCAGGACTCTTAATTCTGGAATTACCAGTGAGAACTGGAGACATGCCACCAGCTCACCAGAGTACCATTTGAAATTTCCTTGGAGCCAAGTTGGTCTTGGGCTTGGCTTATTTCTAAGATACCTCAGCAGGCAACAAATTTGTAGCGTGGATTTGGAGTTGGTGAGGAGGAATTCTCAATGAAGATCAGCAGTGACTGATGATGTCTCAAACTTCTGTAGCAGAGTCTCCTTTTGCTGTCTCTGCTTTTTGAATATGTTTTGCTGAAGAATTGGAAGGTGCCCATCCAAGAGGCTGTCTTCAGCTGGAAGGGGAGATGGAAAAGCAAGCTGTAAAATGGGGTTTCAGAAACGTGCTTCTTGCACAGATTTTAAAGGTACCTACTGCTGCCAGAGTAATTTCATTTGTGTGTTTGTTTCAGCTTTCTGGCTTTTGTTTTTTGCCTATTTTAACAAAACTTAAGACATCCTCTTAGCCAATGACAGCAAGTTTTGCAAATCAAAACCAAATCTGAGCATAGCACTACACTTGAGTGAGCTGTGCTAATCTAAGACAAGCTTCTGTTTCCTGCTTGGAGCTTCTCCCCCATGCTCTCGTTTGGCACATGTACAGCACTGTGTGCTGACAGGCACCTTTGAGGCACAGATCAGTTAAAGAAGTGTCTGTGGTGGCAACTGCTCCAAGTTGTGCTCATTGGCTACCTACTCGTGGTTAGGAAGTAGGTGTTTGGAGTCATGTAGGCTAGAGAGAAGTCCCACATTTGTCAATTAACATCCATAACGGAGTGGTGTCAGGTCTTTTTTGTCTTTTTATGATCGGACAAAAAGCTTAATTTGCCAGTGGAAATATTTCCCGTAAGAAGTCAGAGTGCAAGCAGTGTGTGAGCAGAATATTTTAGGCAGCGAATTTGTTGAACTGATAGAGTCCTGCATAGCCCAGCCCTGCGGTTTGCATACAAGCAGCCCCTTAAAGACCCTGTGGTCTCATGTTCTATCAGCAGCTCTAGAACTGACTTTCACTTTCCCTACAGTATGAGAAGAGATAGAGAATTTGCCATCAGTTTTCTCTCCCTGCATTTTTCCAGACAGTTTGGCCTCAACAAATTGTACAGCCTCCCTCTTGTCTGCGTGGGAGAGTACAGACTGCTGCTGGCGGCAAGGAGGAGAGATTAACATTCATCTGTTCTCTCCCCACTTGCTTTTCCATCCCGTGGGCATGGGAGACTTATGAATGTTCCGCTCCTTTGGGGTGTGTTTCTACTCATTGCCCTGGTGGGAAGACCACAGAGACGCCGGTAAGGTTGTGCAAGTTTCACATTGCTGATTAAATAGGCATATGAGGAAGTCAAATGCAGTGTCTCCCTAGAAGGGGTCAGAGAGGAAGGTGGAAGCATTGACATAAGCCTTAGGTTGAGAGCTTGCTCAGAGATCTCCTTTTCCAGAGTCTGTGCACATTGAGGGCTTCATGGAAAGTCTGCCTCCTCACTCAGGTCTTCCATGAAAAGTATGTTTTGACACGCTTTGAAAAGTCTCTTCCAAGCAGAGATAATTACTTCTTTGATCTTTACTCTCTGTTTTAATGTTGCACATATAGCCAGAAAATCTGATGGAGAATGTGGGGAAAGTAAGTGGTGGGAGGGGTTTGTTTATTCTTTTGAGTTTTTTCTGATGTGGACGTTGAAGTTGATAACTGTATAAACGTCTACGTTATCAGTACATAGCAATGGTTGGTAACACTCAATATAAGATGAGGAGTTTTACTTTCACTTTGTGCCGTTGTGAAGGACAAGGAAGGGTTTTGCAAATGCATCTTTCTGAATGACCCTGCTGCAAGGGGAGCTCTCAGCTGCCATTGTCCTTTGGTACCCATTTAGCCTACCTAGGAGTCAGCTACCATGGTGGGTGCACACCACGAGAGGTGATGTATTTGCTTGCTCCTGATTCCTTCTGCACAGCAGCAGCCTGCCTGTGCAGGAACAGCAATGGCCTTGTTGTCCCCAGCATCTGCTGCCAAATCAAGGGGTCTCTCACAAGTAAGAGCCAGGTATTCTTACTCCTGCTGCTCCCCATCCTAAATGGGGAGTAGTCAGCATTTACTAATTTGGCAATCTGGAAGGTTTGTTCTCGATGAAACGGAGCTGGGAGGTCTTGCTCCTTCTTCAGTTAGTAGTTCCTGCAGGAGAGAGGGCAGGAGGCCTCTTCCCATGATTTCCAGTGCTGGCCACTGCCTCATGGGATGTGATGAGCCAAGAGCCACTGCCACTGGCCTGGAGGTGATGGAGCTGTGGACAGCAGTTGTGAGAATTGCAGGATCTGGGGAGCCTTACTAGTGGGCAGCCAGCACCTTGGATGAGGTGGTGGAAGAGTAGAAATGTAGTAATTCTTTGAAAGGTACAGTGAGGATTTTACCTGGGCTAGCATGTGTATTGCTTACAATGGCAGGGAATTTCTACAGAGCTTGTTTGAACTTCTGGAAGGATGTTGCTAACAGGCATCAAGTGTGGTGAGGTCAGTACAAGAAGAACAAAACCTCCCATTCAGATAAAAGCAGGGAAAGGGAAATACTGCCACGTGTGGGCCTGCTTCAGGCTAAACTGGTCTGTGCAGTAATTTGTGCAGCTCCCCTGAAATGCACTATGGGTTTGAGCTTCCCAGCTCAGACAGGTCTATGTTCATGTTTCAGGCTTTGGGAAAGCAGGAACGTCACCATCTGTGTCCTACTTCATTTGAAAAAGAAAATTAAAAAAAATCTTGAATGCCAGCCATCTGCTGATACTGCATCCAAACTTTATCCTGGTATCTGAGGGCAGAGGAGGAAGATGATTTCTAAGGGGAGAGGCAGTGTTCAGAGAGAAAGAGCTGCCTGTACCTGGGGTGCTCCTGGATCCAGAAAGCATCAGAGGAGCCATGAGCAGGATGGTTTGGCATCTCAGTCCAGCCACTTTCTGTAGTACCAAAACAGTCTGCCCTAGAGAGAGTGAATCTGAGTCCCATACTGCTGACAGTCTGCACCACTTGGTTTATGGATTAATAAGAGGAGATTTGAGCATTTCTGTCAAGTGGAGGCCCAGTGATGGGTGGTAAAGACCCACCACGTTGATGTTTGACACAAAAAGATAAGTCACTTTTTCCTTATAGCCTGGTCATTGGGCATAATGTTGTTTCAGAAATACATTGGGTTGTGGTTTTCTACAAGCTGCCTATGAATATAGGCCCACAGTCTCAGTGAGAACTAATATGGGCCCTTGGCTGGACACAGAGCAAGAGCAGACTTGCTTCCCTTTAATTCTTACAACAGATCTCCCCCAGCAAATGCCCACTGAATCTTGATTTGGTTATGAAGGTGCTTTTTCTGAAGTCAGCATGTCATTTTTCTATGTTGTATTTTTTCTCTGTATTACAGCAGTTGAGTGCTGCTTCTGTCCTGATGGCTCTGTGTGAATGTGAACACAAGTAAGGCAGTAGAGAGTTAAAAAAAATTCCATTAATTAAAATATTTACATTGGAAGCTGCAAAACATTTACTCTTTGAGTAAAACAAACTTCGCCATTGTTCTTGTATGATTGCTACAGTTGCTCTGAAAATAGCCAGGAAGAGGTTGTGCTCTGAGGAATTTTACTGGGTTGGCAGAGGAATAGGAGGGTAGGGATACTGAAGTGGGCTCTTGATCAGTGGCTCTTTTTTGTTCAAATCTTTCTGTAACGTGGACAGAAGAGCTTCTCTTCCTAAGGAAGAAACAAAAAAAACTAACCAAACAAATTTAAAAAAGAAAAACAAACTCCATAGTGGTGTAATTGTGTTGTCATACTATTCTGGTAATGCAAAAAAAAAATTAATGGTCATCAGTAGAATCTGAGAAAATGGTATTTACAGGATGAAAAGTTTAATTTTTAGCACTTAGTGTGTACTAGTGTATACTTAGGGGGAAAAGGAAGCACCCCAGAGCTGGCAATTTGTACCCTGGCTGGGGACCCACATGCTGCCATCCCCATTTTGGTGGGGGGAAATGGCAGTGCAGTGTGTGAAGGATGTCACCTCTGTGGCACTGAGCACCTCTGGGTTGCTGCTGGGGTCTCTTGGCACCATGGCTGCAGCTGCTTGGTGTTGGAAAAAACCAAGTGAGGGTCCACCTGTTTTTTACTTTAGGCACCTTTAAGGGATACCTTTAGTAGCATCACTACAGGAGAGATAGGGAAACATGAAAGCTGTTTGCTTCAAATCCTTTAATTCCCACTGTTCTCCCCCAGATAACTGGATTGAAAAATTAAGCAAGATTTGTTTGGTTTTTTAGTAGTATTCTCTTCACTATTGCACATTTCAGACCTGTTCCACTCTGGCACTGGGACTAACAAGCTTCTGGACTTTCTGGGCAGAACACTGGAAGGGCTAAAAGAGTGTAAAGGGTTTGGTTTGGTTGGTTTTTTAGGTCCTTGATTCACACTTCTCAGTCTAGGCAGACTCTTGGAGCTTTCCAGGTTGCCAGGTGGGAGGTCTCTCCTCTGCCCTAAGTGACTCATGGACTGGCTGGATTGCAGGTCATGTCGTCTCTTCTTAAATGTGCCGTGGCAAAGTGTTTGTTCAAGCTGAGTCTATCCAGACTGTAAATTTTATTGACAATTTTAAGGTTGCAAATTTTTTGGTTAGGTGTGTGGTATTCCTTCGTCTGATCCCAAGTATGCCAGACTGTGTTATGTTTACCTATATTATAAAAACACCTTGGTTGCTTTGAAAGGTTGGTCTGTAAAGGAGTTAGGAAATTAAATGTACTTGTTGGGAGTAGGCATCATTTAAACTTGAGCATGAGAGTTCTGTTCCATCCATTTCTTGTATGTTTTACTGTTTTTTAAGAGAGGCTGCATGCTGACAGTTTCTTGGCCTGGAGATAAAAAGTGCTGCTTACCCAGGTTTGATAGTCTGATGGAAAATTGTCTCCACGATGTATAACACCACTGGGATTATTTCTAGCCATTACCATTGGTCTCATTTTACAACTGTTCACATTATGTAATTTGATGCTCATTTAATTTAATGAGAGGATGCTGCAGACTTACTTATGACTCTGCAGGATAACCTGTGTGCTTTGGCCACTTCTGTTAACCCTGCCAAAGGAGGAAAAGCATATTTTTTACAGGACATGTTACAACATCTTTAATATCTTTATTATCCACGCTTCCCAGATTGCAGCAAATGGGAGGACTACTTGCCTGGGGTGTAGATTATACTGGAATGGCAGGAGAAGTTTAACTTTTTTTTTTTTCTTGAACTGCTTATTAGACTTCTGTTGTAAGGTTATCAGGATGTATTAATGGACTCTTCCTTTTGTTGCAGATGGAATTTCATGACTTGCTGTATTTTGAATAGGACGAGGAGATGTGTCTGATAAGGTAAGAGAGAGGGTAAGATAAACATGTTCCTACACAAAACTGTCACACTCGTTGGTTTTTTAGGTTGAGGATAACTTTTTTTTCCCCTGGCAAAAACCCTGCAAATAATTGTGATAATTATTTTTAAGTTAAACCTGCCTCTAAGCCTCTGAGCAGAGACCACCTCTGTTCTCTACAGCTTCTGACCAGTTCTTTCTCCTGGTGAACTGGTGTACAAAGGCCAGAAGACAAAAAGCGATGCCCTTGCAGGCACAGGGGTTAACAAGATAGTCATGATACTATTTTAGAGCTTTTTCTTTTTTTTAACTAACAGAGGATGTAGAGAAGTTTTTCTTTAGTTTTGATATATTGCCTCCCCCCACATCTCCAGATATTTAGAAGTTCAAGAGATCTTCGAGCTGTTTTAACTTCTACACTTTAAAACTTGCTTTTCTTGTTGCAGTATTTTCAATTTTGGATTGTTTTTTATTAGGACCGAGTATATATGAGTAGAAATGCTCTAGATTTGAGTTTGAAATTAATACTTGCTGTCACTAATGTGGTGAGGGGAGCTGCAAGTTTGCTGATGTTTCAAAATTTATCTTCTAATAGTGTTTTTATAAGGTAGTGTTTAGGTGGATGGTTTTTACTTTTGTTTCTGCTTCAGGGGTTTCCATTGTTAGAGAGGAGCAGATGTCTCTAAAACTCTTAGGTGTTGGGAGAACCATATTCAAACAACAAATAGCCAAGCACAGAAGTTGTATTACCTAGGGATTGTCACTGTCTTTCAATGTACAATCCACACTGCAACTATCCAGCTCTGTCACTTGCTTGTTTCATTTTTGTCTCCCCCTTCTTCCTGAATTCTGTACCATTTACAGGCCTCAAAAATCCCTATTGTTCTATTTGGCTCTTGGATGAAAAATGTCATGGAAACAGCTAAATGCATGATGGCATTGTATGAGGATCAGGAGTAAATGACTTTTTCCTTGGATTCAGACATTTAGCTTTTGTAGACACTCTTGAGTTTTTTTTGGTTTGTCAGGGGGTTTTTTTTGTTCCTTTCATTTTAAGTTTTATTTTCCAAGTAGAGGTAGCCTTTGGAGGGTGGCTGCCCAAGCAAGAATTGAAAACTTTGAATAACTCTTGGCTCTTGGCACTGTGTGGTGTATCCAAGAATCAAAAGACTTGGTGGCTGCCTGGTTTGTTTTTTTTTTTTGTTTTTTTTGCAAATGTTAGACATTTTGTCCATTCAGACCATCCTCTTTCATGCCATTGTTGGATCATGTTATGAATATTTTATCTGAAGGCTTAGTCTCTACACAAAGGTGGTCTTGTATGTGTATAGTTGGTAAAACAGAGCTCTCCAGGTGAGAGAGCTTGCAGTGTGCAGCACTGTTACACAAAGCACCTCACAAGCATACTTCATTTGTTATGTAAACAAGCTGCTTCACTTGCACGTGTTCCAACCAGTCCTCCCGTGCTCCAAGAATGGGTAATTAAAATTGTTTTCAGGACGTTTTACAGATTTCAGCCAACGTGCACTGGCACCCCTCTGCACCCCCCTGTCACACCGTGCCAGCGCCATGGCTGTGGCTGGAGGCTGAGCAGTGCCCAGTGTGGCACTGCCACCACTGTGTGTGTGCTCGTGTTGAAAAGAAGCACAGCCACAATGGGACAGGTAGAGGAGCTCGTGTTCAGGCTGCTTTGTTCAGATTCAGTTCACTGAGAAGTCTGTTTGTCCAGTGTCTAAGCAGTGCTGGGGACTTGGGTGTGCGTCAACAATTGGGATGGGGTAATTTGGTGAGACAACAATTTGGTCATTCAGCTGCTGGTATTTCCTGAAGACATTTTTCTCACGTATTATATGTGTATTACCTAGTGTACATATATTACATTTTTAAATTTTATGTACTGCTTTCTTGTGGGGAGTAAATATTGACAAATCTGCGTGCTGTAGCATGGGCAGCTCTTGTAGCACAGCAGCTGATTGCTGTTGTATTGTCTCTGCCAGTGCAAGTTCACTCTCCCCTTGTCTTGTAAAACAACCACTGAGGAGGCTCTGATTCTAGCAAGTTCTGCAACTTGAGGCCATGACACCTTCTCTCACCCCTGCTTTTTTGCCAGCCCCGGGCATGTGCAAATTGTAAGGTAGATCCCAGCAACTGGACTGGCATTAAAATGAGATTCTGTGATGAAGAAGTAGCACTTTCCACTGGCTGTCATCTTTCACCTCTAAAAGGAAATATTCTGTCGTCGTTTTGTGTGATACCTTCTCAGTGTAAAATTCAGTTCTGAGCTAGGAATGGGTGCATACTGCTCTCCTTTCTCCAAGAGGGCTTTGTTTATCCTTTTCCCAGCAGCCTGGGCTGGAGAAATGCTAATGTCCCACTCCTGGTCCTCCTGTGTTGCAAATGTCTGTCCTGGTCATGTTCCTTCTCAAGGCTGCAGGTGTCACTCATTCTTTCAGCTGTCCCTAACTACTAAAATGTCATCAGTATTTCTTTATTTCATTTTATGACCTCTTGCTCCCTTTCTGCATTCCCTCTCCTCATTTACATTTAGGTTTTCATCCTTCCAGACAGTCATCTGGATTCTGCCCCAAACATGCCCTCAGGTCTTGACTGTGCCTCCTATCAATGTTTTTCCTTGGCTGCTTAGTTTTCATGGATATTTCCTGACCCATTCCTTTCTGTTTCTTCTTCTGGAGGAGTCAGTCTGAAGTACTCCCATATTTCTTGCTGCCATTGCAATTCAAGGGGTTTAGATCCCATTTAAAGCAGCAATAGATGGCCCAGTCTGTGCAGAAATGATCTTGTTTTAATGCTAGCCTTGGTGACTTCCTTGTAATGGCTGGCTTTTGGCATCTGTTCTACTGATTACGAGACAGGGTAGAATAAAAAAAAAAATGAATAATAGCTCTTTTGATATTCCTGAAGCCTAGTGATGAAATTCTGAGACTTGGCAAGCTTGCAGCCGTGTTGATAGGTGCCAGACCTCTCACCCAATATTTTATTTTCCTTCCCCCATATTTCCCTGTGCCTTTATCTTGCTTCCTTCCGAGCAATCCGGAGCCTTTGTGAATTGCAAGTCCAGTTTCACATGAGGTCTGCTCGGTAGCTCAGATCATAAATGTAAAATCATTCTATAAGGCCCAATCTGTTTTTGGAGAGATGCTTATGAAATAAAAACTCCTTTGATCGCTGAAAGAGCATTGTGTCATTTTTGAAAGGAAATGACAAGGAAGAAACTGTTACCAGCCCTATTTTCACCTAGCGTTGGCTTAGACCTGACAAATGGTGTCTGCAAGGTCTCTTGTCTTAACAGTTCCAAGTTAGGTTGCCAATTAATACCGACTATCTAAAAAGCAGTAGGTTGATGTATATTCTATTATTAATAGTTGTTAATGCCCTTCATAATAGTAATCTGTTTTGCAAACATTTTCTGGTTGTTCTTTTCTAACGAGTCTTGGCAGTGAAACCTCCGATTTTACACATGCAGAACCACAGTAACTCGCTGAAGTGTTTGTGTGGGTTTTGGTTTTTTATTTCATTTTGGGTGTGTTTGTCTTGTTTACTGGGAGTAATGCTTGATTTTGATGAGGCCAAATAGAGACAAAGTCCAGGAATTACTTCTGTCCAAACTGGTACATTGTAGTTTCTTGTTGTGTTAGTGCAGGTCAGCACAAAACTCTTGCATCACTGCTAGATGAATTTTAATAATTTCCTTTGACATTGTCAGTGTATACTTTTGTCTCTACAGAAGCCATCTTAGGGAAATTTTCACAATAAGAAAGGTAATTTGAATAAAACAGTAAAAAGTAATTTGAGTTTCTTTTCTTGTGTTATTTAGCTGTTATATCACAATATGTGGAAAGTACCTGGAAAGCACAAGCAGAAAAGTGGGAAATCTCATGCATGAGGAAAAGCCTCTAGATAAGAGTGTGTAGGGGGAGAATATATACATAAATGTAGACATCAAGGTAAATGCTTTTTCCTTTTCTTTTTCTTCCAGAAAATTTGAATATTTGCACGATCTGATGTTGCAAGTTTTAAATGCTTAACACTTCTAAAAGAATAAATTACTTCAGTGCCTGAATTTGTAGATAACTGTCAGCTTCAAAGGATCAAGTGAGTTGGAAGAAATGTCTGGAGAGCTCAGTATAGGCAGGTATCAGGCAGAATATAGAAACAAAGGGAGTATATCCAGCTAATATAACAGAGACCTAGATGTAATTTTGTATATGAATTAAGACTAATTATGCTACAAAAAGCAGATTTCTGTGGTTCTGCTTTTTGTGTAAATGTAGGATACTCACTTCCCCCTCCACATCTCTGTCAGACTGGGTTTCCCAAACTGCATGTTACAAGAATTGTGTTGCTTCTGTAAAAATTAAGAATGAAGATTCACCTATTTAATACTTTTCCAACTACCCTTACAACAAGGACTGCCTTTGGCTTTGGAATATCCTTTTTGTGAGCTGTCTGGCTGTGTAAGATATAAGTAACATTGCACTCTTGACTAAGCAATTAAGAGAAACTGAAATCAGTATTGTAAAATGCACATTAAAGCTATAGGGATGAGATGGAAAGAGCCATTTCAGCTTCTTGAGAAGCGAGCTGATCTGAATTTCCCCTGGGAGTGTGTCAGGCACCAAGATGAGGAGCAGTTGAGGTGTGAAGTCTCTGGGGTGCTTGTTGCCTTTTACCCCACCCAGTGAGCCAGGGCAGGGTACTAAACCTGGCCAGAACCACTGCTTAGACTTCTCCCTAGGGTTATTTTTCTGACCCAGGTTCTCTGGGCTTCAGGGGGGGAAGCATGGGCACAGGGAGGGTGCCAGGGCAACTCCTGGGGTTGCAGCTGCCCCCCTTCAGGGTGGAGCAGGACTGTGGGGTGATGGGAGCATCATTGCTGATTCCTGAGCCCAGCACCCTGACTGGACACACCCTCCTTTCATCCTTCCATGGTGATCCTCCCCCTGGTACCCTGTGTGCTCACCAGGGGGAGGGTCACCTGCACCC